AACGTCCACATCAGGGACATCTATGTCCACTTTGGGGCCTTTGATATCAACCTCTGGTGCTTTCAGATCCCCTTCAACTTTGGGCAGAGAAACATCCACATCACCTTTTACCTTGGGGCCCTTGAGGTTTAAATCAATGTCAGGCATGGAGATCTTGGGAGCTTTGATATTCATGCCAGGCATCTTAAGTTTGGGACCTTTTAGGCCTCCTTCCACGTTGAATTCTGGGCCCTCAATGTCCATTCTGGGACCCTCTACATTGATATCTCCTTTCGGTAGATCCACAGCCATATCTGGCCCTTCTGCTTTTAAGCCAGGCACACTGAACTTGGGCATTTTCATCTTGGGCATTTTCAAATTCCAGTCTGGACCATGAACATCCACATCAGGTGCATCGAGATGCACTTCTGGTGCCTTGATATCCACTTTGGGTCCTTTAAAGTCACCTTCTAAATTAGGACCTGCAATATCTAAGTCTCCTTTGACTTTAGGACCTTTCAGATTTAACTCCACATCAGGCATAGACACTTTAGGAGATGAAATACTCAGGAAAGGCATTTTGAATTTGGGTCCTTTCACTTTTCCTTGGACCTCAGCATCGGGAGCATTAATATCAACTTTTGGACCTGTTATATCAATATCTGGCTTTTTGACTTTGACATCTACCTCAGGTGTCTGAACTTTAGAGCCTGAAAAATTAAACTTGGGAAGCTTAAAACGAGATTTCTTTGACTTGCCTTCAATATTGAGCTTAGGACCAGAAACGTCCAATTCTGGGCCCTTTACATCCAACTTGGGAGCTTTAATGTCACCTTCTAATTTGGGCCCAGAAACATCAACATCTCCCTTAAGCTTTGAGCCTTTCAAATTCAGGTCAATTTCTGGCATGGAGATCTTGGGCATGTTTACATGCATGTCAGGCATCTTCAGTTTTGGACCTTTTAATTTGCCTTCTGGGCCATGAATGTCAATATCTGGTGCATCTACATCCATCTTCGGGCCCTTAATGTCAAGAGTAGGCCCTTTCAAATCACCTTCTACATTTGGAAGTGAAACATCCCCCTCTCCCTTCATTTTAGGGCCTTTAAGATTAAGGTCCAAATCTGGCATTGATATCTTAGGAGCTTTGATATTCATCTCTGGCATCTTGAACTTAGGGCCCTTCAGTTTCGCATCTGGACCCTCAATATTCACATCTGGAACATCAATGTCCACCTTGGGTCCTGAGACATCAATGTTGGCCTTGGGCAGGTTTACATCCACTTCTGGGCCTTCTCCTTTAAAGCCAGGCATGCTGAACTTGGGCATTTTCACCTTGGGCATCTTCAGGTGCCAGTCTGGGCCATGAACGTCCACATCTGGGACATCAAT